ATTGGCCGAGAATCGTTCCCAGTCCCAGCCTATTTGTGTTCATCTGACTGTGTTCACTGTTATTCCCCGAATAAATGAAAAAAGTTAGAATTTATTATTACCTAGACACCACTGATAACAGGAGGTGAAATTCAGCTCCAGACGAGCAGAGCGTTTGGTGATGTCATCAATACGCTTCTGTTCTAATTGATCCATATTTATTCTGCGTGCTCCTGTTCTCCCAGAGTCCAGACTTTCCTGTATTCTTCTCAGGAACATATCTGGCGAGAACACGAGTCCGTACTCGCACTCTAGTGAATTTAGAAAGGGGCCTCGTTTGCCCACTGAGCGATTTGCCCAGGACCACCTTACGACCTTACGATTCCTGATGGGGAGGTTGTCGTTAGAGGCTGATCGCCCCTCGTTACCCCCTGGTCACTACGCCACGCACCATCAGGCTTAAAGTCGGCCCGATTATAAAATTCTCCCACTACTGGAGAATCGGCCCGAAAAGGGCAAAAAAATCGTACGGGGTCCGACCGGCTTACGGTTTAGATTAGGGCATGAAAAGGGTTAAAAATGAACGGGAATCATCCCACGGTCCTCGCTACATATAGCGAGATGAGAATGTGTGTGTGTGTGTTGAACCCACTGCAGTTCTCCTCATCAGAGCCGTCAGGACAGTCCGTCTCCCCGTCACACTCGGGGTTGGCTTTGCTGATGCAGCGGCCGTTCTTGCAGCGGTAGGTGGTGGCTGAGCACTGCAGCATCAGAGCTGAAGGAGACAAGTCAGCCATGAGACAAACGTCCCTAAAGAAACGTCTGATTTAACGATGCAGCTTAACCAGCAGCAGCCCCCTGCATACCCGGTCAGACCAGCACAGTCAATACACGTTTATCCCTTTAGTTTTGCACCAAAAATGGACTTAACCCTGTAATGCCAAATGTATCATATTTGATACATACTGTTTCTGAAATGTTTTGCTTCTGACACCTTTTGCATAATTTAATGGTAAAAACTTTGCTCAAAATTCTATTGTACACAATCAGATATACCTGATAACAGCCAGCAGACTTATAGTAATAAATTATTAATATCAAAAATGTATTTCTGTTTTTTCTTTTTACATATTTTGTTAAAAGGGCAAATAAAAAAATTATTTTCTATTTTGTTTTATTCTTGGATCGGGCTTTAAAGGGTTAAACTACCTCAACGGGCGTGTTTCCTTTTAGTCATGTACAAAAAAACAATTTAGTTACTTACTTTTTGGTGGTTTTTGACACATATGTCGATCTGACCTTAAATAGTTTTTTTCTGTACATGACTAAAAGGGATACATATGGAAGAGGATTAGGGCCACTGACAAAAAAAGGAAAAAAGTTTATTATTTCAGTATAATATGAGAAAAAAAAGTCAGAATTCTGAGAAAAAAAAGTATTTTTCCCCAAATTAAACTGAAATAATATTAAAAAATCAGTTAACTTTCTTTTCATTTCTTCAGTGGCCCTAATCCTCTTCCGTAGAAACACGCCCGTTGACGTAGTTTAAAGTCTATTTTTCATACAAAACTAAAGGTTTGAAAGCAAATCTGACGTCTTGTGGATGCGTGTTGATTGTGGGTATGCTGGTCTGATGGGGTATGCTCATCTGACAGAACGCCGCTCTGCTGAGCTCCTCTGGATCTGGTGAAGTCCATCTGAGTTAGTTTCTTACATTTTTCACACTTGGACTCATCA